GGAGAAAACTGACTCCTGTAGGTTTCCTCTGACTTTCAGAGTGCCATGACTTTCACGAGTGCCACGGTCATCATGTGTGCACACGTGAGAACATACATGTGTAAGTACACATATTATAAACAAGTATAGATATGATGATTTATGTGTCTGTGTGTGGATATGTGCATATGTGTGCAGGCGCCCATGGAGCCCAGAGGAGGCCTTTGGATCCTCTGGAGCTGGGGTTACAGGCTGTTGTAAACCTCCTGAAGTGGGACTGCGCACTGAACCCAGATCCTCTGGAAGAGCAAGCTTGGGTGAGGTGGCACCTTTAATCCCAGCATTTGGGGAGGCAGAGGCAGACAGATCTCTGTGAGTAGGAGGCCTACAAAGTGAGTCCAGCAAAGGCTACACAGAGAAACCTTGTCTTGAAAAACCAAAACAAACAAACAAACAAACAAAAAAAGAACTGGCTCTCAGTCCAGTACCCAGCATTTATTGGGGGGTCGAGGAAGGATGACGAGGACTTCCAGACCAGCCTAGGCTATACAGTGAGACACTGTCTTAAAACAACGAAACAAAGTTAAGCTTGGGTGGACTGGAGCGACTTGGTTTTAAGGTGTGGAAGTGAGAAGAAAAAGTCATATTTTACAGGGTTGGGGATATAGCTCAGTTGGTAGAGTGCCTTCTAGGGTGCAGGACGCTATGGGTTAATCTCCAGCACCACAGCGGTGTGTACCTGTAATCTCAGCATCTGGGAAGTAGAGGCAGAGGAAGATCAGAAGTCCAAGGTCATCCTTCCCTACATAGAGGGTTTGAGGACAGCCTCCACTACATGAGACTCAGTCCCTAAAAGAAAAAAAAAAAAACACAAAAAACCAACGTGATATGGTGGAGATTAAAGAGATAAAGAGATGACTGAGTGAAAACAGGCATGTATATACATATATATGTATGAAAAAAATGGTCACGTAAGATGGGTAAGATGGGTCGGGGGTAAAGAGTCTTGCCAGGTACACCTGAGTTCAATTCACCTACGTTAAGGTGGAAAAGAAAGAACCCACTCCACAAAGTCGCTCCCTGACTGCTGCACACCGGGGCAGGCGAGTACACACACACACACACACACACACACACACACACACACACACACCAATAATACCAGTAACAAATGAAAGTTAAAAAAAGAAAAGCCCCACAGAAATGCCGGTAGCAGTCACTGCAGCTGCGGCTGGTGACCAACCGTCCTGCTGCTGGGAGGAAATTGCATACTCACTGGATGCCAATTACCCAATTTTAGACAACTGTGACATTCTTCAAGTCCTTGCAGCTGATGTCTGGATGGTGGACTGGAGAGATGGCCTGGTCTTTGTGGCACAAGTATGAAGACTTGAGTTTAGATGCCCCACTCGGCAGCTAGGCATGGGGTGCACACGCCTAGAGCCCCAGACTGGGGTTTGGGAGAGAGGGTGGAGAGAGGCAAATCCCAGGGTCGTGGTGGTCAGCCAGTGTTGCCGAAACAGTGAGCAGCAGGTTCAGCATCAAAACCAGAAAGCAGGGGCTGCTGGTGCAGAGGACTATGGCTCAGTTTCCAGCACCCACATGGTGGCTCATGACCATCTGTAACTTCAGTCCCAGGGGATCCGACATTCTCTTCTCTGACCTCCATTGACCAGGCACGGGTGTGGGGCATAGACATAGCCGTTGGCCAAACACCCATACGCATAAAATAAGCTGAATAACTCTTAAAAAAAAAAGAAAAGAAAAAAGAAAAAAAGAAAAGGCAATGGGGAAGACTGTGGCTTTGCCCTCTGGCTTCCGTATACACACGCACCCATGAACACACATTAAAAAAAAAAAAAGTCCCTGATTTTGTAGTCAAAGCTGAACTCGGTGAACCTGGGAACACATCACTGGGACATTATCAAGGTCCAACCAGATGGTACAAACAGTAGGATATGTCATGTCCGCAGAACGCTTACCAAATAAGAAACCAGCCACTTTGTTTCTGTTTTTCAACACTTTGTATCTTTGCTTTGTTTTTGAAACAAGGTCTCAGTATTCTAGGCTCGCCTGAAATTTAGTAAAGGACGACCTTAAACTCCTGATCTCTCCTTCCTCCACTTCCCCACTGCTGGGACTGAGAGCTTCCAGCAGGCGAGGCAAGCCCTCTACCAACTGTACTACGCTCCCGGCTCCAGCAGTTTGTAAACTTCGGTTTGTTGACTTCCGGTCTGTCTCTGCGCATCTTTTATCTTTCCTAAAACGTCAACTGTGTCGGACAAGCATGTGCCCGTCGTGTTTACAGCTGTGCCCCCAGGCCCGACACAGTGCGTAACCGATATTTACTCCACGTGTGAGTGAAAACCCAGAAGCATGTCTGCAAGCCTTGGAAGGCTCGCTGACAATCGTGAGAAAGGCTCCTCGGTTTGGACCATCCCCAAGGGGGACCCGGAGCTGCGCCAAGATCATCCCCCTTAGGGGTTGAGAGAGTTGGCCTCTGGTTCTCTTCGCTGTCCAACTGCAGAAGCGCTCCTCAGAGGGCCGAGCCCTCGCTGCGTGCTTCCCCGAAGCGTGGGAGACCAGCCTGCCCAGGGCTTTCCCCGGTAGATGCTGGCCTCCGGGGCGGGGGGGGGGGGGGCTCCTGGCAGCCGGGGAGTGTGGGGATTGAGGGAATCATTCAGCCACTTAATTAATGAAAAGGAAGGAGAAGATAAAGGCGGGGGAGGAACCCAGATCCCGGAAGACAGAGTCACCCCGGCTGGGCAGCTGCCCCAGCCGCTCCCTTCCCTGTGCGCCCCGCCAGTTCCCGCCGCCGCCGCTGACTTTCTGACTTCTTAACTTGTCAGCAAATCCCAGAGTTAAAAATGCACACGCACCCCGGCCGGCCGCCAGCAGGCCCGTCTGGCCGCGGCTCCAGATGTGGGGCCACCGCGCGGGCCGCCCGCCCCGCCGCGCAGACTAAACAATCGGCCTTGGCCGTGAGCGCAGCGCAATTCCAGATGCCGCGTCGCCCGCGCCGCGCGTTAATTGGGCCGCGGGCGCGAGGCTCTGTCAGCGCCAGCGAGGCCCTGCCCCGGGCGGCCTTGGCACGACGCCGGCCTGCTGGGCTACCTAGGGCGGGGGCGGGGGTGGGGAGACTGAGCAAGAAGGGGATGGGGGCAGCTAGGAAGAGAGAGACTCAGACAGACAGACAGACAGACACACAGGGAGTTCAGAGGTTCCAGCGTCAGGACCGTATTGAGGAAGGGTCAGGGACAGCAGCTACGCAGGCAGGGAGACCCAGAGACCTCCTATGCGGAGGGAGGGAGGGAGGCCCAGAGCTGGAGACACAGAAATCGGCAGGATGGCCCGCGATCCGGACAGACAGGACCACAGACGGCAAGGTGGCGGCGGCCGGCGGCGGACCTGGAGAGGTGTCCGCCTGCCTCCGTGGTCCCCTCCTTCCCACGCTTTCACTCTCCCTAACTGTTTGTCCCAGGGTCTGGGACTGAGTCAGCTCGCCAGCGCGGTCACCTAGGCCTCTCCCGGCTGGGTGAAGGAGAGGCCCATGTCCCTCCCCACCACCAGGCTTGATTCCACCCCCAAACACGAGCTTGGGGACACCAGTTCACCTTGGACACTGTGCTGGGGAGACTCTGCTCTGAGGCAGAGGGATGTCCCAAATGACTCCTGCTCACCTCTCCTCCCCCCTCCCCTCCCCAGGCAGCCACACAGTCGGGCCCCTCCTTCCCTACGTGCGGATTCCGAGGTTGGGGGGGGATGACCTGCTGGAGGGGCCCAGGGCAGGGAAGCCCACCGGGGACCACCCGGGGGAGCCGGGGGCCCGCGTTCCGCCCCCGCCCGAGGCCCTGACAGCCCGAGGGGCGAGCGCCGAGGGCACGGCGGCGGCCGGGGCGGCTCTCGGAGGCCCCTCTCTGACAATCTTCCCTTTGTTTGTTTTCTTAAATCTGGGAGGCCCGAATTCCTGCCGGATTCCGTAGGTTTCGCTCAGGAAGGAGGCGCCCCCCACCCCCCCTCACGCCGGGCCGGGGCTGCGCCGGGGGAATGGCAGGTTCTTCCCGGACGAAGGAGGAGCGCAGAGCCCCGAGGCCCAGGCAGGCCGAATCCCGGGCGCCCTGCCCGCGCGTGCCACCACGTAGCCCCAGCCGAGGGCAGGGAACGTGTGTGTGTGTGTGCGCGAGCTCACACACACACACACACACACACACACACACACACACACACACACGAGCGGTACTCCATCCCAGCCAGATTCATCCCACACCCATCCACCTCTCTCTCTCTCTCTCTACTCTCTCTCTCTCATTTTGGACTCCAAACTTGAGCCTCATTAATTTGCAAAAAAAATTTCCCCCAATAAAAGGCAAACATGGAAAGAAAAACAAACTATTAGAAAACAGAGGAGGGCGGAAATGTTATTTAAAAGGTTACCAGACCACATCATTTTCCAGTGATATTATATACTCTCAGCAGTATCCAAAATATATATGGGATCGGGGCCAAGAATGAAAAAAAAAAAAAAAAAAAAACAACCCATAAAACCCCCCTCGCTTAGACACAACATCTGGACGGGAGAGCGAACAAACCCTCCATTTATCACACTTAATCCTCCGTAGAAGCGTTCGACGGTTGACTTCTGTTTTGCTAATTTAGCTGCTTTCAAGCGCCCGCCCAGTCCAGACTGGGAATTCGGTGTCACTGGAGGAAGGCCCGGCCCTGCCCTGCCCCCGACCGCGTCGGCTCCCTCCCGCGGCAGGGCCTTGGCAGGGCGGGGGTGGGTGGGAGGGAGCCTTTAAAGAAGGACCACGTTTTAGGAATTCTCTTCACTACCGCCCACTCGGGTCAATGAAAACCTTCGCCTCTGCCCTCGTTCCGTCCCGTCCCTCAGCACCCCGACACCCACGGCCTTGCGGGCCACGCCCCCTCTCCTGCGCAGGCTCAGTGGTGTGATGGCCAGGCAGCCTGTCTTAAAAGCCGGCCTGGTCAGTCCATCCCTCGTCCAAGCATTTGCCAGCCACGGGCCTGGCAGCAGTGACCCTTGGGCCAGCTGGGAGAGGGCAGCGGGGAGGAGGGGGTCGCGTGTCTGGAGGTCGGAGCCTCTGTTCCCTGGAAGCGAATGAGAAGCGGGAGATCTTGAGGTGACTGCCCTGGGCCCCGCAGCCGGGTGTGGAGACAATAGGAACTTGTGAGAGTGCCAGCCGGGAGAGAGTCAATCCGTGTGAGTGTATCATTTGGGGATTAGTCAGTGAATCCCTTGGGACCCTGGCCCAGTGGGGCTGGTGCCACGGATAGGGCTGGCCTCCAGCAAGGACCCCCTTCCTTCCTCAGGAACCTTCCCCAAAGCCTCCTGGGTCTTCCTTTCCTGCCCTCTTCCACCTCTCACCTCTACAAGGACTCTGGAGCTCAAGACAGAGCCTTTTGGTGTGACCTTCCCCAGCTTCTGGGGGCATGGGGCACTGAGAGTGCCAGGCTGGGGTTCTGTTTTCCAGCACCTGCTGAGAGAGGAGGCAGAGGATGTGTGCCAACTCCGGTTGCCCACCCCAGCCTCTCTCCCAGTCCTGGCAGAGCGCTGGAGCACAGCCTGCACTGCTGGGCAGACTCCCATACACACCCAGAACAACAGGCCCTGCTGGTCGTGGTGGCTGGTGCCTTTAAGGTTGGTTTTTATTTTTAACTATTGGAGGTGGAGCAGGGTGCCGTGAACTGCGCCTGCCCCCCACGAGCAGCTCTAGTGGTATGACACCCCCTGTTGGCCTCTGGGGGTACCTGCACTCGTATGCGTGTATCCACATGAATATTCACATAATTAAAAATAAATCTTGAAGGTAGAGACAGAGATGGGGGGACTAGGTAAAAATATAAATTCCACAAAACCTCGCCTTGAAGTGACACCAGGTACGGTGCTGTGAATGCGGCCAGTAGGCCTTCCTCTGACATCCGGTCTTGAGCAAGCTTGGTGGATGTCCTACTAGCTCTTATATCTTTAGAAGACAAACAATGCTGGGTCCCTGAAGCCCCCATTTTACAGCTCAACAAAAAAACTAAAAAATGTCTTCTGGCCCAGAGCCACTGTTCCGTGATGATAGACTTGCTGGGCGTCCTTGGCCAAGATGGGCTCCCCTCTGGGCCTTGAACCCTGCAGTTTCTGGGCTCTCATCTACCTCTCCCTACTACTGCCCCTGGATCCCTGCTCAAACCCCTCATCTCTCCTTGGGGTTTTCTGTTCTTCCCTGATTCACCTGTCTGTGACTTTTCTCTGGGAGGGCCCCTTCTTTCTTTCCCCGCCCCCGTCTCCCTCTTTCTCACCATCTCCAGGGAGGGAGAGTGTGTGGACAGGCAGCACCCTGAACCCCCACACACAGCAGCTTGTCTACAATCACAGCCCTGGCCTGAGGAGCTGGCCCTCTCCATCTGCTTTCTTAGAGGAGGGCCTGTCTCCGAAGGCTTTACTCGAGGCCCCGGCCTTTGACCTTTGACCTCTGACCTCTGGAAGAGTGAGAGAATGGCATCCCAGCTGGACCAAGAGAGTGCCTTATATGGCTTTTTGGTCCCAAGAGAGCAGTGGGCTCTGTCTTCTCACGCTTCCCATCCCAGGCTCAGACAAGTGGACAAGAGGACAAGGGGGCAAGAAAGGAGCCAGCTGACACTCTGCCACCCTCCTCCGTCACAAGGCCACCTGCACTTCAGAAGCTTCCAGAACCCCTTCCTAGAGGCCCAGGTGCCTAGAGGTTGTTTCTGTTACCAATGTCAGCCATGTCTGGAGAATCCACTGGGAGTCTTGTTGGAGGAGAGAGTCTGGTGTTGAAGCAAAGCCTGGGGGTGTCCTCAAGGAAATGCCCAGATACCACGCCTGGGGCTCCTGGGCAGAGTGTTTGGCAGTGCCCGGGCGTAGGCCTGGTTGGAGTGGCACCTGAGATGAGGCCGGCTCCTGGGGGCGGTGGGAGGGGGGCAGGTAAACGGGATGCTGGGCACTGGGTGTGGTGAGGTGGGGGAGGGGCACAGGGCCACAATAGGCCTTTGTGCTCAAGGAGTCACCTTCACTCCTGGAGGCTGGGTTTCCCCCCCTCACCCTCATCTCCGGCTGGGCTGTGCAAATATCAAGACATATGGAAGGTACAGTCATAAACAAAGGTGACAGTCATCTGGGTTTGGACCCTTCTGCTCTGAAACAGACCACAGCAGACTGAGGCTCTGGGCTGGGGGCTAACTGGTTCAGCCAGGAGGGGACGAAAGAGAGGGAGGGAGCATCAGGCTATCAGGCTTCTGGTGTGTGTTTGATGAGGCTCTTACCAGGGAGATCACGAGCTCTTGGCCTCAGTCCAGCCACCAGCCAGCTATGTCTGTCCTATCCTTCTGTGTACAGCTCTGCACAATGGGGAGAGAGTGGCCCTTCTCCTCCGAGCTCATGGTGTGTGCGGAGCAGAGGCAGAGTTTTGCCTGCTATCCGGGTGCCCACAGGTAAGCTGACGTCTCTTTTGCTATTATTTACTTATAAGACCTTTCTGCCTGAGGGGTCTCTGACCCCGGGTCAGAGGTGAACAAAATTGATGTCTGCTCGTGAGGAATGAAAGAGAGACGCCAGAACAGGACTTCCATCCTGGACACCTCGTATTCCTTTATTTGCTCAGTCCTTTTTACATTTTTCTTTTCTTTTCTTTTTTTAAGACAGGGTTTCACACCAGGCATGGTGGTGCACGCCTTTAGTCCTAGCACTTTGGATGTAAAGGCAGGCAGATCACTGAGTTTGAGGCCAGTATGGTCTACAGATGGAGAGCTTCAGGACAGCCAGGGCTATGCAGAGAAACCCTATCTTGAAGGGGGTGGGAGGAGAAAGACAGGGCTTCACTGTGTAATCCTAGCTAGCTGAGAACTTGCTATGTAGACCAGGCTGACCTCAAATTCACAGACCTCTCTGCCTTCTGAGCATTGGTCATTCTGTCATTTTTATCCCTTAGGCTTGGCATTTTGAGGCTTTTGCCTCCAACAATAAGCAAGATCTGGTGGCAGTATAGACCATGACATCAACACGGCCCTCTGCCACGATTGGGCCAGCGACACTGTCATAGCTCTCCATGGCAGCATAGGCCAAGGACATCAGCATGGCCTCAGGCAGCAGGGTAGACCATGAACATCCAAATAGCCTTTGGGGGTAACTCAGGTCACGGACGTCAACACAGATGCACAGACCATGGTCATCTGTGTGGCTTTCAGTCAAACACTTTATTTTTAAATTTTTTTTATTATTTATCTGTATGTGAGAGTATGTGCATGTGTGGGTACAGGCATGCAGAGGCCAGATATGTAGGATTTCCCTGGAGCTGGAGTTACAGGCAGTTATAAGGTGCCTCATGTGGGTGCTGGGAACCAAACTCAGAGAGAAGTGTGCACCCTTACCCACTGAGCCATCTTGCCAACCCCGATTTCAAGCACTCTTAAGTGCATTTAGTCTTGTAAGCTTTTCTGTTTCTCGGAGGAAGAGACTGAAGATCAGAGAAGGTAAATACATTGTCTGAAGTCACACAGCTGGTGACAGTGCCGGCTGGGAGTCTGACAGCAGCCTAGGCCCCCGGAGCACAGCATACGCAGCGTGGGCTCGGGGGGAAGGGGGGCAGAATACCCAGGGCACAGCATATACAGTGTAGGCTCTCGGGGCACAGTATACACAATTTTTCAGTCTCTTAGAGAAGAGGGCCAGGGGCCAGGCCTAGTGATATGCGCCTGTAATCACAGCTATTCAGAAACATGAACCTGGAAGAACCAAAGTTCGAGGCCTGCCTGAGCAATTTAATGAGTCCTTGTCTCAAAGTAAAGAGTAAAAAGAGAGCTGGGGCTCTCGCTCAGTGGTAGAGTGCTAACTTAGCGTGTGTGAGGCCCTAGCTCTTATCCTAGTACTTGGAGGCTGTGGCAAGAGGGCAATGGAGACTTGGAGGCCATCTGGGGCTAGGTAGTAGGTTCCAGGCTGGCCTCTTCTCAAACCACACAATCATTTGTGTTCTCTCTCTCTCTCTCTCCCCTTCTCCCTTTCCTTTCTTCTCTCTCTCCCTCTCCCTGTCCCTCTGAGGCAGAAAGCAGAGTCTGCCCCTTGTGGATCAGGGAGGGCTGGTTAGGTCCTCAGTCTTCCTATCTATCTGCCTGAGGTCCTTTCCAGCCCAAAGCTCAGTGACAGAGGGAAGCTGACATCTACCCCACTCTAACCTCCTGGACCCCAAAGCCTGTTGATTTCCTGATCCCTCCTTTGTCTGCCGTGTTCCCGGAGCCAGGTGATACAATGTAGGAATGGAGTGATCATGGAAGGGTACCTCACAGGAGAAGGAAGGCGATTATGAATAGTAATGATGCCAGGATGGATTCAAACAAGTGCTTGCCTGTATATGTGTGTGTGCACACACATGTGCCATGGCATGCATATGGCAACCAGAAGACAACTCGTGGGAATCAGTTCTCTTCATCCACTAAGTAGGTGCTGGGAATAGAACCCAGGTCACCAGGCTTCAGCAAGCATCTTTACACTCAGAACCATCTCACTGGCCTTCGTTTTGTTTCTGTCCCACTGAACTTGAGTCTGCCCTCAGCTGCAGAGAAAGGAGGCCAGAACTTCTCCGATCCACTGGGCAGGGGTGGTGGGGAGCAAAGCCAAGCTCATGTCTCAAGGAAAGGGAGTTTACCAGACCCGAATCCCCAGATCCACAGACTCTCCTGTTGGTGTCCACGTCCTAAGCAAGGCAGATAGTGCTGATTGGCTGGGCCTGATTCATGGCCCCACCCTGAGGTGGGAGGATCTGAGGAGTCTGGATTGCCGGCCACACTGAATGCGGCCCTGGAGGGGAAGGCAGCCATTCTGTAAAGGAAAAAGTTACAGGCGTCGAAACTAGACAGGGACCCTGGGAATTCTCAACCAACACCACACACAGGAGGCAGAGAGGCAAGAGGAGGGACCGTACAGCCCCGAACACACTGCGCATTCATTTGTTACACTTTATTTTTATTTGTGTGTGTGTGCAGTGCCCGCTGGGGACAGAAGAGGGCATCAGAGTTCTGGAACTGGAGTTACAGAGGGTTAGTTCTGAGTGGCTGTGTGGTGCTGAGAACCGAACCCTGAAGAAGCAGCAGCAAGGTCCTTTAACCTCTGAGCCATTTCAGACTTCAGACTTGCTATGTGGCTGAGGATGACCTTGAACTCTTGGTCTTCCTGTCTCTGTCTTCCAGGAACTGGGCTTATAGGAATATACCACCATGCCCAGCCTTACCTTTTATCTGAGATTTGGGGAGGAACACTTTTTAATGATATTTTGTTTTATATTTATTTGGGGATTTAAAATGTTTGCTTTTTACAACTTCCTTTTTGTGCTGGGTGGTAGTGGTGGTGCATGTCTTTAGTCCCAGCCCTTTGAAGGCAGAGGTAGGCAGATCTCTGACTTCAAGGCCAGCCTGGTCCAAGGAGAGAGTTCCAGGACAGCCAGGGCAGTTACACAGAGAAACCCTGTCTCAGAAAAACAAAACAAAACAAAAACAAATAAACAACAACAACAAAATATTAAAATTAATAAAATAAAACAAAACCTTTTCTTTACATGGTATTTTAAAAACATCTTTAATTTATGAAATATCTGACTGTTTTATTAGAAAAGTCAAGGTTCATAGGCTTCTAAGATAAAATATAGGACACAGTGCTGGCAGGATGGCTCAGGGGTTAGAAGTATCTGTTGCACTTACAGAGGACCCAGTTCCCACATAGTGGCTCACAGCCATTGGCAGCTCCGGTTCCAGGTGACCCAGCATCCCTTCACTGCTGAATGATCCTGTGTGCACATGCTGCACAGAAACTCATATAAGCACATACACATACAATTGATTAATTAATTAAAGATAGACGATGCAGAGGTTGGGAATAGCTCAGTGGTAGAGTACTGCACAAACATTCAGATATACACACACAAACACATAATTCAGATTTAGCTGGGTACAGCTGTGGCTGTAATGTAGTACTGAGAAGTTTCAGGCAGGAGGAGCATAACTTTGAAGCCGCCTAGGCTGCCTGGTAAGAAAGACCCTGTCTCAAAACTAAAACAAAGTCAGGTATGATGGTGTATGCCTTTAAATCTCAACCCTCAGGAAAGAGAGGCAGGTGGAACTCTGTGAGTTCAAGGCCGGCCTAAATTTCATGCTTCAGGACAGTCAGGGCTGGTTAAAGAGTGAAATCCTGCCTTTGAAATATATAGAAATGGGCTAGCAATGGCTCAGTGGGTAAAGGTTCTTAGCCCTCAAGCCCGACACTTCTTGACCCCTGGAACCCACATAAAGGTGGATGATTCCACAAAGTTGTCTTCTCACTTCCACACATGTACCAAGGCACATGTGTGTGCTCTCTCTTTCTCTCTGCCTCTCATACACATCAACACATTTTTCAGTAAAATAAATAGAATGAGTGAATTAATAAGCCGGCATCAGGGATAGGATCAGAACCTTTTCGTTCATCCATTTACCCACGCAACCCTTAAAATGGCTCTTACTTGTAGCACCTGCACCTTACTCCCATTTCAGAGAAGAGAAACTGAGGCTCATAGGACTAGAAAATTTACCGACGTAAATGCGCAGTCAACTTTGATAGCCTTCAACCAGGGGGACAAGCCTCCCACTTTCCATCTTCCATTCTACGGGAGAGAAGAGGGCTGGGGTACAGAGAGGCCCCCAGAAATAAAGCCAGGATGGGGGTCTCCTAGAGAGAGAGAAAGCCTTGATTTTCAAAATAGGAGAGAGGGGTTGGGGGAGGAGGGAAAGGAGGCTTTGGGGGCTGAAGGTCACGGGGAAGTTCAAGGGCCGTGGGGTTTGGGAGCCCGGGGTTGGTGGTCAAGTACTGTGGGAGGCGCCTGGGAAGGAGGGGCAGGAGTCAGGGTTTTCAAGTTGTTTCTAAGCTGGGGTGGGGGTGTTTAATATTAATAGTAATGACTGTGGCGGGAAGATAATAGGCCTTAGTCAGATTAGAAGGGGTGAGCGCTTATCTGCGGCTGCTGAGGACAAGTCTTTCACCTGCTCCTTTAATATCCCCCTGCTTTCATTCCCCCGCCCACCCCCTCCCACCAGCCTAGAACAAAAGCGGTATTATAGGCCTGGGGTGTTTTCAGGCGGCAGCCCCCGAGCCCTCCCCCTCCTTCTCTGCCCTCCCCACCCCCCCTCCCCAGTGTGAATGAAGCTTTTTCCTCCCGCAGGAGATTAGCTCCGTTTGACAAGGCAGTGAACTTTGGGAGGGGTAAGTGGGCCTCCCCAGAGAGCAGCCATGATGAACTGAGCGAACGCTGCCAGGAAGAGACCCTGAGAGAACTGTACAGACAGACATGTGAAGTCAGGGGGAGACAGATAGACCGATACAGCAAGTGCTGCAAAGTGGACCCTGAAAAACACACACACACACACACACACACACACACACACACACACACCCCAGAATGTTTGGAAGTGAG